AAAAAAAGTGTATGCTTAGCATGCAATGTTAGTGAGGTTTAGTGGGCCGTTATCCCAGAGAGGTCTCCGATCACAGGTTGTAAACTGGGAGAAGTTGCCTTGAATGCCTTCTTAAGGATGCCAGGGCTGTGTAGTTTGAGAGCAACATTGTCCTGGTCACTGTCTCTTACGCTTGCAAACGCTAAAGGCTAAGGGCTGTCTCAGAAGCCTTCTCGCTGGGATGGGTGTGGCTTAATAACTGTCCTATCAAAAACCTAGGACGTGGTCGAAGAGCCTCGCAGTCAGGAGCGATAGAAGTTCCCTGAGTCAATCAAATTCCAAGATGGGCGGTAGACGGAAAATTGTCCAGTCATAGATGCCACCTTTCCAAGCACTGCCCAATAAGAGCCCGAGGGCAAGGCATCAGTGACCCCCCCTCCCCAAGTCTCAGGCGTCCAGTTCAGTGCACTCGCCTGCAGGCTTGAGCAGGTGCCGGATGGATGGCGAGTGAGGTGTCAGAGTGGGTGAGGCCCTGGTGTTCCTGCTGCAGGGGTGTCCGCCGCCAGCCTGGGTAGCTGAGACGACACTGAGGAGGTGACAATGTCTGGTCCCCATTCTTCCGCAGAGAGTCCAGGGAACATCTGCCCCAGAGTCACCGAAGAAATGACTCCTGCTCCCTTGGGGTCTCACACAAAAGAGAAAAAGGAGCCTCAAACCCGCAAAGTAAAATACACTGAGTGACAGCGGGGACACAAGCCAGGGTCCCTAGCAGGGCATTCCCAGAGGCTTGGGGAACAGGTAGAGGGAGAGGTGGTGCAGCCAAGCCTGACCAGGGGCTCAGCCCAGTTGGTGCCCAGCAGGCTCTGCCCCTCGCTGGGCCTGCCACTTCCAAACTGTTTTTTCTAGCTCTGTTTTCACTAGATGCAACATGCGTTTAACGGATGGGCTTGGGAGGAGGTCAGTTTCAAGGGGATGTGTTCTAATTTTGCATTGCACTTGCTAAAAACTCCATGCGGGTTTGGGTTGGTTTTTTTTTTTTTTTTTTTTAACTGTTATTTTGGTGTGTCCTTAAGCTCCTCACATCTGTTGTTTTCCTCTCTGTAATGACAAATGGCATTGCAGGGCTTAGCCTTAAGAATGCTACTGAGGGGCTGAGGAGATGGCTCAGTAGAATAAGCGCTTGCCTGGCAAGCGCAAGGGGCTGAGTTCAATCCCCGGTTCCGAAAAAAAAAAAAAAAAGAATAAACTGGGTATGGTGACAAATGCCTATAAAACCAGCACTTGGGAGGCTGAGGCAAGAGGATTGCTATGAGTTTGAGGACAGCGAGGGCTACGTAGCAAGACCCTGACTCAAAAAAATAAAATCTCATGTCTTGCCTGAGTTCAAGGGCCTGAGTTCAATCCCTGGTTCTGAAAAAAAGAAAGAAAGAAAGAAAGAAAGAAAGAAAGAAAGAAAGAAAGAAAGAAAGAAAGAAAGAAAGAAAGAAAGAATCCCAAGAAACAGAGGAGACACGAGGAGACACTGTCCTGCTGTACAGAGGCGGCTGCAGCAGTGAGACCCCCGTGCACCCTGTACACTCACCTCAAATGTCTTTGAGTAGCCCAGTAAAGACTCGTAGTGTTTAATGAATTTAAAGAAACACATATAAGCCTAGCCCCAGATTTATTCATAAGGTTTCCAGAAATTTTATTTATTTTTTATTTTTATATTTTAGGAAAGGGTCTACAAGGTGTTCAGGGTCTCACTACTAAATCAGACTCGTAGTGATCCACCTGTTTACAGCCTCAGAAGAACTGGGATTACAGGCGTGCGCCACCTCGCCCAGTCTCAATTGCCATCTCAACGCACAGGTTGGGGCCGGCAGGGCAGGCCCGGGGATCAAACCCCAGCCCCTGCGCCTGCTTGCAGGTGCTTTAATGCACAGAGCTACTTGACCAGCCCTTCCAGAAATTTTAGAACATGAGTTTTAAGTTGAGTTTGTTTGAATGATAATTCAGTTGAAAAAGTTATCAAGGGACTCCATATAGTACTATTATTGTACTAATAGGCTATGTCTGAACCCTCTTCCAATGCTTTTAGCTCATTCCACTTTAAATTAATCAAAAGCAGACCAAAAATCCACATTTACACATAAAATGCTAAAACATAATGCTGATGCTAATCCATAAATATTAAGAAAGCACTAAAACCATTAGCAATGTGCTCTCCGATTTTTTAAAAAATATATCCTACCTCAGGTTTATTTGTACAAAGAGCAAAGGAGGACACTAGTCCCCCACAGATGGCACCCCAGAGGTTACTCCAGTCCTTCTGTTTTTACATGAGCATATAAGAGGCTTTTACTGTGGAGCCTCTATGGGGGCCTGGACACCTGTGGGAGCCTAGGCTGGAGCAAAAGCTGGAGCCTGGGCATGGGCTGGAGCAGAAGCTGGAGCCTGGGCCTTTGGCTGGTGAGCCCTGCAACCCTTGGCAATACGAGCAGGGATACACTTCCCAAGCTTGGGGTGGGCAACACAGGCAAGATGAGCGAGCCTGCAGTTTACTCCCTTTGGGATGATCTTGGGCTCGACCTCCTTGGGCTTGACGAGGGCCTTGATAGCCTCGGCGCGCGCACTCACGGCCTTGGCATTGTTTGTCTGCATCTTCTCGAAGTCCTTCTTGTTGTGCTTCTTGGCAAAATGCATGTTCCTGAGGAACTTGGGATCTACCCCTTCAGAGATTCGTATCTTTGTGACCAAGTTTTCTTGATGCCATTTCTGTGTGCCATTTTCAGGATTGGTTGTGCATGGTGTGGTTCTTTTTTTTTCTTTTTAAAAAATTTTATTTATTTATTTATATATATGTGTGTGTGGCCAGCTCAGCCCACCAGGGGGTGGGGCCAGCTGGCATGTGGTGCTGGGGATTGAACCGCGGTCCCTGTGCTTTGCTAAGCTTGTTCTAAGTAGGTGTTTTAGACCACTGAGCCATCTCACCAGCCCCGTGGTGTGGTTCTTGCACTTGGCCATAACTACACTGTAAACCACAGCTGCCAAGCGCCTGGAACCAGAAGAAGAAAAAAAAGCTGCTCCCCCATTTTTAACAGAATCCATATGGTGAAGAGATTCCTTGAAAGAAGTAAAGCAATGAGAAAAAAGAAACAGCTGCTTGTTCCAAGCCATAATCCACTCAGGAGGTCACCTTAGGGGCCAGGCACAATGGATGTGACCAGTATGGAAATTCTTCCCCCGTCCCGCACCCTCAGCGGCCCAGGAGAACGCAGACAGGATGAAGCTCCCCAAATGCAAGGAACATGGGGAGGTCGTCAGCAGCCCCTCGTACCTCAGGCCTCACATGAAAACCCACAGTGGAGAGAAACCAACCCTATGTGTGCCGAGTTTGTGGGAAAACACTTCTTTGATCTTAGTCTCTCACAGGACACATCAGGATGCACACTGTAGAGAAGCCCTTTGGGTATAAGAAGGGTGATAAAGGCCTCAGTCCTTCTGTGTGCGTGCAATGAAGCACTGCAGAGGAAAACTGGACAGAAGCAGCGTGGGAAAGGCCCCCACTGTCCAAAGCCCTTTCAGGTACACATGATAATACGCATTGGAGAAACCCTCTGTGATGGCTCAATGGAATAAGCGCTTCCCTGGCAAGTACAAGGGTCTGAGTTCAATCCCCGGTTCTGCCAAAAAAGAAAGAAAGAAAAAGAAATCATCTGTGAAAAAAAAAAAAAAAAAAAAGAAATCATCTGTGAGTGTACAGAGGGCAGGAAATCCTGTGGCTGGTTTACCCCCTTTCAAAGACATGTGAGAAGGGCCGGCCAAATAGTTCAGCAGATTGGGCTGGGGAGATAGCTCAGTGGAGTAAGTGCTCACCTAGCAAGCGCAAGGTCCTGAGTTCAATCCCTGGTACCACATACAAAATAGTTCAGCAGGGGCTGGTGAGATGGCTCAGTGGTCTAAAGCACCTACTTAGAACAAGCTAAGCAAAAGCACAGGGACCACGGTTCAATCCCCAGCACCACATGCCAGTCAGCCCCGCCCCCTGGTGGGCTGAACTGGCCACAAACACACACACACAAAAAAATAAATAAAAATAAAAATAAAAAAAATAGTTCAGCAGATTAAAGCGCCTGCAAGCAGGTACAGGGGCCAGGGGTTCAATCCCTGGCCTGCCATGATGGTCCCACCCCCAGGGCACTCTGAGAGGGCAATTGAGACTGGGCGTGGTGGCACATACCTGTAATCCCAGCTCTTGGGAGGCTGTAAACAGGCGGATCACTACAAGCAGTGAGACCCTGTACACTCTGTAGACCCTTCCCCCCCCAAAAAAAAAGACATGTGAGAATTCATGAGGACAAGAAACTACATAGGTGTGAAAAGTGTGGAGCACCTTTTGGTTGGCCCTCATCTTTACAAACACATGAGGATGCATGCTAAAAGGAACCCTGCTTGGGCAAGGTGGTGCACCCTTATAATCCCAGCACTCGGGAGGCTGAGGCAGGAGGCACAACCAGCTACAAAGTGAGCTGAAGGCCAGCCTGGACTGCATAACGAGATCCTGTCTTAAAAAGAAAAAGACAGAATAAAAAAAAATTATTATTAAATTAAAAATGAAAGGAAATCTTCAAGTGGAGGCAATGTGGGAAACTCCCCAGCTGGCTCTCACCCTTCCAAAATGTAAGAGCACAGCCTGGAAAGAGATGTAAAGCGCTTAGTTGGTCCTCAGCCTTACACAGCGGGCTAGAAAGCACCTGAACAGCATCTGCAAGTTAATGGGAGAAAACCTCCAGTTAGCCCTTGTCCTTCCAAAAGAGAATGCAGGTTGAGGGAAGTCCTATAAATGCAAAAACTGTGGAGATTTCCATTCTTCAAAATCCTTCAGCGCTGGGGACGTAACTCAGTGGCATGAGCACCTGCCTGTCAAGCATAAAGTTCCAAGTTTGATATCCCCAGTTTAAAAAAAAAAAAAATCCTTCAGAGATCATGTGAAGAGTCACATTAAAACCCCATAAAAAAAGAAAGAAAGGACCCCGCCTGCTCGGCGGCGGAGGCGGCGGCAGCGGCAGCGGTTGTTCCTGCCTCTCCGCCACCTCCACCGCCGCCTGTCCTTCGGCCGGCGGCGTTGGCGGGGAGGGGGACAGTAGTTGTAGATCCCGCCCCTGCCTCAGCGAAGATACTATATTGAATGAAGGAAGACTGAATTTACAGGTGCTTCTTCTAAAAGGCATCTGTGGAGTAGTGCTCCAGTTTCAATAATAAAAGATTGTCCATTATGAGCTACCTGATTGTTGCACAGTCTCACTATTTGAGGGTAGTTCATGCTGAAAAACTGAAGCAAGTACTAGATAAATATGATCAGATCTCTCCAGCCAGTCCTCAGCCTGACAGAGAGAATCCCTTTTTGTCAACCTAATGAAGCATTCAAAGTCATATGACTCTTTTCAAGATGAACTTGAAGATTATATTAAAGTGCAGAAAGCCAGAGGCTTAGAGCCAAAGACTTGTTTCAGAAGGATGAGGGAGGACTACTTGGAAAGCTGTGGGTACAGGGAAGAAGTTGATCCCAGACCCAGGTATAGAATGTTTGATCAAAGACTCCCGTCTGGAACTGTCCAGACTTACCCAAGACCACACAATATTTCACAAACAGAAAACCGGTTACCTCAGTGGTTCCCAGTTCATGACAACAGGCCAAGACTAGAATCTCTGAGCTACTGTCAGTACCGTAGAGACTGTTTCTCTGAAAAACCAGCGCCCCTGAACCTCAGCCAGCAAGCATATAATCACAGTTCAGCCAGCACAGACGCTGGAAGTCCCGAGCACCTCTCCTCGGGAGCCAGGACTGGTGCCCATCCAGCCAGTCATCAGAAAAGGAGGAGGCACCCAGAGGAAGGCAAAGAGAAACCAAAGGAGGAGCGACCCAAGCATAAGAGGAAAAGAGGTCTTGAGGTGGATTTGGAAGAACATGAGAGCATCCAAAGAAAGAAAACTGAGATGGAAACAGACGCTGCACAGGGCGGTACAGAAAAGCCTAAGCATCGAAAGGAGAGGAAAAGCCGAGAGCTGGCCTCTAAGAAGGAGGACCGGAAGCGCAGAAAAGAGAAAAAGGAGCAAGGCGAAGAAAGAACGGAGGAAGAAATGCTTTGGGACCAGTCTATCCTTGGATTTTGAAGCTCTGTGGTTGGTTCTCCTAAGGTTAAAATTGAAAAAATAGCTAAGGAGCTTGGTTTTGTGATATGCATGTTCATATCACTCATGTGAGCAGGTAGTTGAGTTCTAACAAAGGCCAGGTGAACATGTGCTTGTTCTCCAACGCGGAAATTCCTTTTCCTCATTTTCCTAAAACATTACATTTTTCTTATATTCGATAAAATTTCCTTTTAGGAGAGTGGTTCTGGTTTATTGAAATTGCCATGATGGTGGAATTATTTTCTCTTGGGAAATAATTTATTTTAAATTGGAGGATTAATAGGCCTTGCAGAATTTATTTCTTGATTGGATTTGTTTTTAGCTTTGAGTTGGGTATTTTTATGTTTTTTTGGTTTTCTTTATAAAGCAGTTTAGATTTTGTTCCTCCTTGTTAACTTGCAGTATATTTTCTAGGTTGGAAAGTGGAAAATTAATGCATTATAATAATAAAAATAAGCTTATGTTACATATAGTTCTAAAAGTTTCAAAGAGTCTTGATACAAAATCAATTTATATTCTGGAGAAGTTTATAATAAAGTGTTTTAATAATAAAAAAAAAAAGAAAGAAAGAAAGAAAAAACCACCATGAATGCAAGGAGTGTGTGACAGATTATACAAATTAATCATGTTTGATGGCTCAGAAAATTCACAGCAAGAGAGAAATCTTACAGAAAGTGAAAATATGGCACTGTCCTGAGTGGTGCTGTACCCAAAAGTGAAAACCTAGCAAACGAATTTCCAGTTTTCTTGCAACAATCACTGATGTGCCAGGAGATAGCTCAGCGGCGTCAGCACCCACGTGGCAGCCCAAGAACCTGAGTTCAATCCCAGATCCAAATTAAAAAAAAAAAAAAAAAAATCATTGGTATGAGAATTCTCTAAATACTCTGCCATCCATAGAACATGAATTTTTCTGCGTGGTGGTTTTTTTTTTTTTTTTTTTTTCTTATATGTTCAGTTAATTTTTCTATTTCAAAATGTACTACACCTCTGGGTGATTTGAAGTGTATGTTTAATATGCATTAAGCCTTAAAATCTACACAGATTGCTCTGTAGTGTAAATATGGGGCTGTGGTGGATTGCCAACTGGTGGTCAAATTATCACATCCAGCTGAATTGAACTAGGGTGGTGCTGGGTGTGGGAGGCCTCCTAGGGTTGTTGCCAGCGGCATGAGAGGCTGCTGGGGAAGCTGTTGGAAGCTGCTGGCTCTCTTGGGCCATTCTGCTACAGGACCCCGTCGTGCTGGTTTCCTGACAAACTTGGCTGTTCTTGTTAGAGGAGGAGCTTGGGACCTCATTGTCCCTAAGAATGGCTGCAGCTCATTTTGAGGGAGCTCTGGTCCTCACCTCGAGCATCACTTTCTGGCTCCAGAGGGGCAGATGGTGCACTGCTCAGCCTCATGGAGAAGCTTGTCGCATTGGCTTTCCTCACGGGAACTCAGCTTTTTTCCTCATCACTGGAGAAGCAGAGCCTCAGTGTCGCCAAGGATGGCTGTGGTACTTTTAAGGGGAGCTCTGGTCCTTACCTTGAGTGTTGTTTCCTGGCTCCAGGGCAGATCTCTCAGCCGGCGGGAACAGATCCTTCACCTTCATCCCACTGGATAGACTTTCTGGCTCCCACCACTGACCTTTGGGCCTTCCCAGCACAGATCCATGAAGTGGGCCTGCATGAGACATTGTCATGGGCTCTGGGCCTTCAGCTTGGACTTGTGGGAGGCATTGTCATGAGCTCTAGGTCTTTAGCTGGACTCCTGCAGGACATTGTCGTGGGATCCAGATGCTCAGCTGGATTCTTTGGTCTTTAGTGTGAAGATGGATTTCCTTGCACAGTATGTATGAATCCTCAGGTGGTTCCTTGTAAAATGTGTTCTGTATTGTATTGTTCACCTTGCAAAACCCCAAACTATGACAGGGGCTATAAAACCAAGGGAATGTTAGCATTTCTTGATATCACTTACCTATTATATCTATCCTACCTTTCTATTTTAATCAGGAAATCAACAATTTCTTAATGTTCATACTTTTTACTCACATCAGGTTTTTGTTGTTGCTTTCTTTTTTGAGGTAGGGTCTCACTACATAGTTCAGGCTGGCCTTGAACCCACTTTGAACTCCAGGCTGACCTTGAACTCGTGACCATCCTCCTGCCCCAGTCTGCCAAGCACTGGGTTTTTACAGGTGTACATCACTACACCCCGCAGGTTTGCATTCTCAAAGAGTTAAATTGTTTTTAGCCAAGGGACTATGATCCTATTTTGCTGGCTGGCCAGTAGAGGTGGCAGGAATTTGCAAATATGGCTAGAAAGTCCTCGTGTGGGCACTGATGCTTTCTGGCATTGCAGTTTGGTTTTTCCCCTGCTTCTGGCTGCAAATTGGATACCAGGTTTGAACTAAGAAGAGAGGCTGTGATGTCCCAGGGAAATCAAAGGGTGTAGATAATCCTGGTTATAGCCACGGGATTAAAGTATGGGTCTACGTTTCCCAGGATGCCTCCTGTATATGGTTCCAGGTTAAAATTCAATAGTGGTCCAACCTGCGTGGAATGTGGAAGAAGCGATTATTCAGACTCAGCTTATTTTCCTGATTTCTGACCCCACCGATGGAAAATCTCCTTGCCACCCACAACAACTGCCTGGCTTCGGCTTGGTGGGGCCTCGGCTGCCACGCTCTGCCCTCCTGCGTCTGCCCCACGGATGCCCTCCGCGGCAGACGGGCCCGTTGGGATTTTCCTGCGAGTCTCACACTGTCCCCCAGGCTGCAGATTCGGGTGCCAGACGCTTTCTTCTCCCCTGGGCCTCTGACGCCCCTGTCCTTGGGGTCTCCCCAGGGCCCTGTAGAGTCTGATGCATACCATGAGCTCCCCCTCCCCCTCCCCCTCCCCCTCCCT